TGGTTGAAAACAATCAGAAACAGTCAGAAACCTAGTTTCAACCAATAAGATTCACTCTGACTGGTTTGTGATTTCTCTGCGAACAGACCTATTGACAGTTGAAAATTGACTTTTTTGCATGTTTGACCGACTGTGAAACCTAAACGGTTGATTTTAGAGCAAAACTGACTTTACATTCCTGTCTTAGATTTCCATAAGCTATCATTTGACACCAACTTTGAATTTAACCGAAGATGAAAAATTTGAGCGGAATTTTTAATCATGGCTTAAATTCAGGGTTGATGTCAAATGATAGTTTATGAAAAACTAAGATAGGAATGTGAAATCCGTTTACTTGTAAAATTAACCGTTCAGGTTTTACAGTCTGTCAAAGATGCAAAAAAGTCAATTTTTAACTGTCAATATTTCCGAAACACTTGAAGATAGGTATATGACATTGTACATGAAGTATGTCTAGAATTTTTCGCAGAATCCAGAAATGTCATAATATACAGGGGGAGCCATTTAAAAAAACATAACTTTGTGTCAGTACTAGTTATTGGGCCACCCTGTATATTGGAAAATAATTCAGGAATGTAGTACTCACGTTTATCTACAAGTTTTGTATTTAGTTTTTTCTTCGATCTCAGTTAGTATAAAAGATAACGGACCACCGCGCGCTTAGTAACTCACCCTGTATATGTGCATTAGAGTTTCACGCAACTGAGCTGTTCGTTTTTCCTCTACCCTGCCCTCTCAAGCATCTGCAATTTTATGGGTGCATTAAAAATACGACGCTCAAAGTAGGGTGCGCTCCAGTGAAACAACAGTTTTTTGGAGCACCAGAGTGTGAAGCTACGGGTTTGGAGCACCTTAAAATTCGTCACTGGAAAGCTGTTAAGGATTATTTGACGTGTTTTAATGTATTAAACGATTATTTAAAAGTAATATGGAGATCTTTATGTTTCAAAAGGCATGTGTCTGCGAAATATGTTTGAATTGAAGTTTGTCATTGGTCACTAGTTTATCATTAAAAATCATATTAGAAAACTAGACTATGCTGGGAAAAAGCGTTAATTAGTTTTTAATATTTGAGGTTAGTTCCTTTCCCTGAATAAAACAAAGTTGGGATAACAGAACCAAAACTCTTTGAGTATTTTTGCCAGGGTTGGCAGGATATATATCAGTGATAAATATCCTGATAAATATCTTGATAAATATCATGATATATATCTTGATAAATATCATGATATTTATGCTATAAATATCCTGATATATATCAATAATATTTGTATGACCTTTTTTTCCTATTTTATAGGTTTATTTTATTTATGAAAAGGAAATCACAGAGATTTTATTTATTTTTATTTGTGTATAAGAAATATTAGGTTTTTAGAGCGGGTATTATAAAATTATTTCATCAGATAACCAAAAGTTAACTTCTGGAATTACTTTGAGAAGCAATGTCATTACAGAAGGTAAGTTCTAGTTATTCTGTCAAAATAGTTTATAATGCCCGCCCTAAGTTGTAGAATTCTTTTTGTTGTTGAGTTCAGAGTTTTCATTTTTTGTTGTTGTTGACCATGGCTTAAGGCAAACATAAGTAGTATAAATAACATACTTAAATGTTTCCATATTCTTAAACTCGAACTTTTATTTACCTACTACATTTTACATCAAGCTTTACATTCCTATACATATGTATAGGAGATAGGACAGGAGCGCTAAAACTTGTTATCACTATACCAACTTTTCATGTTTGTAATATTTTATTAAATTCACCATAAAGTTATTGCGAATTTTAATAATATAGATAACAAAAAACAGATGAACTAATTTAAATAATTGAAAATATAAATAAATATATATATTGGATATTTATATAAATATCATGATATTTGCCAACCCTGATTTTTGCCTTTTCAGTTTAACCTTATAGTTGTAAATGACGATTTGATAAAATTTAATTTTAATATGGAATTCAACCAGGGCAGAAAACCAATTTAATAAATAATAAGAATGCAGGATAGCAGTCCTCTGCTTGTCATTTTTATTTATTACTGTGAATTATTAGGAATTTCTAGGAAATGTTGAAATTGAAAGGAATTTCTGGGAATTGTCAGGAATTACTGGAAATTATTAGGTATTGCTAGGAAATTGTTAGGCATTGCTAAGGAACTGAGGGAATTGGATGGAAGCATATAGTAATTTCCCAATTGGGCATTCTGGTGCGTACAAAAACTGGATTAGCGGTTTACCCCTTGTATACCACTAAGTTTTATGAAGACAAACAATTAAATAAAATACAAAATACGCAAACTAGAACAAAATGTCAAATAAAATCATCATAAAATTCGTCCAGACTATAAGAATGCCTTTCCAATCAAAATATTTCAACCAACAAGTACTATTTTTAATAACTGTTTCAGTGTAGGAAGAATTTTTGCTTCATTTAATAAATAATTGTTGTATATTTCAATACTTTCATGTATAGGTAATTAATTTTTGTTTGCTTTGTAAACCTTAGGTCTGTTCGCACAGAAATCACACACCAGTTAAGAGCTGATTTCATTGGTTGAAAACAGTCAGAGAACTAGTTTCAACCAATGAAATTTAATTTGACTAGTTTCTGATTTCTGTAACCGAGGTGTGAACAAACAAACCTCTCATAGATTGATTAGATTATCCTTCATCTTATAATTTGTTTTTTTTTTGAAATGTTTGTAAAATAAACATCAGTTTTTTTTTTCATTTTCGGTACCCCCTCAGTTCTTAGGGTTTATTCACCTTCTGATAAACTGTAAGGTATGGTCTTCAAACAAGGGCATTGGGCCCAGTTTATTCATCTTCAGATAGTGGTAACTAAACTACTCAAAACGGAATAAGGACCACTTTTTCAAAACCTTTATTTATTTTAAATTTTGGATAACCCCGGTGAAGTATCTATTTCCATTTACAATAATATAGGTAAGCAAATGAAGTGTGCACAAAAAATTTATATTGTAAATGGGAACAAAACACTTTACTAGGGTTACTCAAAATTTAATAAAAGCAAAGGTGTTTTTAAAAGTGGTCCTTATTTGGTTTTGACTAGTTTATATGCAACATAAATTTACCATTTTATAATTCTATTGGTCAGCGGATAACTGGCTAACCAATGAGATTACAGATTGCGTTTATATTTGTCAGATTGTACCTATACCGGACAGTTTATCACAAATTGAATAAAATGGTATCTAGGTCCGGTTGTACTAAATCATTGATACCAAAAAGAAGTTCAGTTGAACTCTACTGGTATGGGAAAGATCAAGAACCAGCAAAGTTCAACTGAACCACTGTTTAGTACAACCAGGCCAGTATAATTAATTTTTGCTTGAATTTTGATAGTGATTTTTTATATTAGGTAGGTATAAGTAAATCAATTAAATGTACAGTATCATCAGTACAATAACCATTATTACCCAATCAAACCCAATGAACTCACATGTCATAGGGATAACATCTTCATATCCAGCAGCAGCAATTATTGTATATACTTACTGTATATTAATTTACCATCAATATTTATAGGAAATAAACTTTCCTGAAATTTGTATAAATTGATCTGTAATGAATGCCTACAAATTACTGATGTCCAACTGTAACTTCAAATTTGAAAGTTTATTATGTTTTCGTGGCCTTAATCGGACGCCACTGAATAGCACACAAATGTACAGTTGAATTTTGTTTTTATTTAAAAACCGTCTGTAGTTTAATTTTCATTAACAACAATAATTAGTGCTGAACTAATTAAAGTGAAAGCGTTGTTTATTATAAATACGATCACATGGCAAATGGTCACTCCAATAAATAAAAAAACAAATTATTATCAGCCTCCCTGCAGTTCCATTCCCATAGTGGGCCATTCTGTTTTGTTATATCCCTGCAAACAGGTAGGAGACCAATTTCCAAAACAGAAAGGAGTGGCCCAACGAATAAAAAAAATCACATTTTTCCTCTATGGGTTTTCGAATACAAATGAAACTTACGCAATGATCTCGCTACGGCGTCCTACGTCATCATGTGCCAGTCAAATGATACGACCATACAGACGAAAATACTAATAATTGCATTATAAGGGAAAAGTCGAAAATAACGCAGACCGAACTTGAAATCATTTCGCTGCTCGGCGACTGAATTTTTAGGTCGAGATCTTTCTGGTTGGCGAGGATTTAAAAATTCAGGTATGCATCGAAGCGGCAACATTGCCTTACCCCCTTACTCTTCGCACCGTTGCCCGATCTATTCGACAAAGAAGGCCATAGTAAACGATTGTTAAACGTGCCTGTGATTGTTTCACAAGTGGCAACGTCGCAAAGATAAATTGGCTCCCGCTAGCAAAACTGCCAGCTCCTGGTTGGTCGTTTCAAGGATCGATATGGAAGTGGTAGGGCAGGGAACCGGACGTAACCCGACACTGTTGCCGAATATCACCACGTTGTTAAGAGCCAAAGTCGCTTGACAAGCAGCTTTGTCACGGGTAAACAAATAATACCAATGTTACATGATTTTATTTGAGGCTTTTACTCGACTTTTTAAGATAAAACGCATTCTGGACTATAACGTGGAAGGTAGAATGCATAAAAATAGACCATGAAGAATGCGATTTGAAACGTAGGTTATTATGGCAAGGTTTTACGCGGTTGCCATGTCAAGTGCGGCAACATCAGGGAACAACAAAACACGAATTTATCTTTTATTTGGCATTAAAATTTCTGTTCCAAAGGTTTGGGTTTTATTGAGAACATTTGACTAATCGGCTTTACTTCATCTCACGCTCATTTAGAACAAAAACGAGGGCTAATTTTGGAACTAGCACGCACACATACACACACACATCACCATCACAACAAGGTGGAGGAAAATATCAGATTATCTAGCGGCAATAACAATTAAATTTTTGTTTGGTCCTTTCAATAAATAAATACAAAGAAAAATAGCATCAAGGACTTGGGCGATAGGGTTTTTTCTTGCTCACTTACCTAACACACGATGTTTTCAAAGGAAACTTTATCGTAGTTTTCTTGTGCACAATCACCTCGACGATATCTAAACAGTTTTTCGTAAAAATTTTCACAATTTGCGGCTCAACAACCGATATTTTGGAAGGAAAAATTTGACACATTCTGTCGACAACCTCCAACAACGATGAACGATTGGCGACTGAAGAAATTTTCTCTGCCTCTCGGAAGTTAATGCGGCTGCCCGATGCAAAGCTTGTTTGGTCGGGCCCATTCCAATCAAACCTAAAAGCTCGGTAGGATTTATTACGAACCTTGGATCACTGTCGGACCAAAAAGTCAGTTCTAACGAAGCACTTGTAAATAACTTGGGCACTACACCATAATTTTCGAATCGAAAAGTCCTGTTAAACTCACAAATTCATAATTTAGTTTGACATTGAAAGTGACTTCCCCTCGATAATGGAGTCGCCCGTAAATATGCCAGTGTGAAAACAACAGCCGAGGGTGACCCATACAAATGTCTAAAGATTGCTAGGCAACTGACAGTGAAAGGTGGGCAGCGTTGCCGGACTGTGCTAAAATTCATTTGTTGGGACCCTATTATTGCTTATTATTTCGTGGCAAGGATTCAGTTTGGAACTAACTATTACGTCTTTCCCGGATCACTAGAGCCGATTTCTTCCTAGTTCTTATTCTGTTGATTGGTAAGCGAATTGCTTAACCAATTATTATGATGTCACAATAGTGACGTGACTCATCAACAATCTCATCCGAATGTAGTGGCTACGGCGTTTCGTATATTTTGACTTTGACATTGATTTTGTTTACTTACATCATTGTGCCTTGTTGTTTGTTTTTTTGTTGACTTCTCGACTTGTATTAGGTAGTTTGTGTCTGTGATACAGGTTGAGATGCCAAGTGCTAATGAATATGAAATGTTAAGACACTGTGACTTTGTGACTAAATTCACGTCAGTGCGTCAACTACATCAGTCATAATATCTACCTATGTCATACTTCTCTTTTGTGCTTTTGTCAACTTGATGCTGCAGAAAATTTTTGTCTTTTTTAAATGATGACAGGTCTGTTCTCACAGAATTCACAAACCGCAGTCTCGTTTTGTTCTCGCCAGAGTGTGGTCGGTTGGTTTAAGGAGCTCCATGAGCTTCACCTACTCCGCGATTAAAAACCGACATTCATCGCCATCCGTGGATTTGTTGCGTTTTTTTGACTAAGCCGGCTCAAACTCTATTTGTTTTGACAGAAACAGGTTATATCCGGCTTCAGCGATTGATCTATTAGGCAATTCAAACCACGTGACACTCAAGATGGCGTGGCGGCCACACATGGGCCGAAAAACACAAAAAAATATCTAAAAACTATCCCGATTTAATAGTTAAGGTAGGTACCTAGACAACAAATATTTTATTAAATAATCAAAATTACAGTTGTAAGCAAAAATTTAAGCAAAATAATTTAAAATACGCATAAAAACATAATCAAAACAAACTTTTTTCGTCGCCACGCCATATTGAATTTTCCTTTTTGACAGATGGATTGAATTGCCTAATAGGCATATTTTGGATGTGCCTTTCACAAAAGAATTAAATTGAAGATAGGTATAAGAATTTGAAACGAATAGGGGACCTATGATATGGCCTAAAGCCAGACAACATCAGGGTCACCACGAAATTGTGCTAGCAAATTACCTAGTAGCAGCGCCATTAACGAATAAGAAGAAGAAGAAGAAGAATCACAAACCAGTCAGGAGAAATTTCATTGGTTGAAAATAGTCAGAAAACTGGTTGTTGACGATTTGCACCAATCAAAAACCCTCTGACTGCTTTGTGATTTCTGTGAGAACACACCTATCGTCTGTAGTCTACTGTGGGTCCTTGTCTGATTATTGATTATTATATAATCAAATAGCAATAAACATAGTATAGACTGTAAGATGTATTATCAAAGAATGTTATAATTTAGTCCTGATTAGTCAGTATTGTCTGTATTAGTAATAATAATTAATAGCATTGTGAAGAGTGAAGGTCTAGGAAGGGCGCCTTATTTATACCCTCGTTTTAGTTTTAGTAGGTATACTAACTCTAAGCTTTTGTCAACAATCTTTTTCACTTAAGCGGCAGTCAGACTAGGCTGCTTTATCAGCCGCTGGTGGCTGATGGGTGCAAACAGCCACAGCAAGCAGCCACTGGTTTGGGTTCACATTGGTTTTACAAAGTGAAGTAGTAAATTGTTGCTACTATAGCGAGAAAAATCAGTATTGTATCAATTTTCTGTTGAATTTGCTAGAGAAAAGATGTTTCCTGTGGCTCCGCGAAGAGATGTTTTGATAAAATTATTAGGAATCGCAGCCAACGAGCTTTGCCAACAGGGTTTGATCAAGAAAAAAAAAAGAAAAAACGTAGTTGGGTCAGAGACCTGATAAGTAGAACTGAATTAGGAGTTTCATCAAAACTTTTAAAAGAGCTTGCAGAGAAAGACCCTGAATTCTATAGGAATTTGTTAAAATTGTCAGTTCCAATATTCGTGGCATTTTTAGAATTAGTTACACCAATTATAAGAAAAAGAGATATTCATTTGAGACTAACTATTCCGTGCAGAACCAAACTTGAGATTACTCATCAGTATCTTGCAACTGGTGACTTGGGGACTGCTCAAATCTCTTAGTACATTTAACTCTTCAACCAGGGTACTTATTCTCGAAACCGGAGAACTAGAAGAGCGTTCTCATGAGGACGAAGGTTTTGCCTTTCTCAATTTTATGGAAATATATATAAGCGACGAAGATAGAACCTTCGTTTTCATGAGAACGCTGCTCCCCTGTTTCGAGAATAAGGACCCTGGTCTCTGAATGCTCTATCCCTGGCATCTCTTTTAATATATTCTGGGAATGAGGCAATGAGGCATCCCACAAACAAATATATTTCTGGTATTTATTCAGGAACTGAATTATTTGGTTTGAAGGTAATCTGAGTTCTGCCATTTTCAGTGGAACACTGACTCCTTGTGACTTGAAAAATGCCAACAAATAGCCAGCAGTGCGTGCGCGAGGGTTCACATTAGGCGACTGAAACGCTGTTAACAGCATAAAGGAAGTCACGTGATTCACCAGCGGCTACTAAAGTTAAACATGTGCTACTCAACTAGCTGCTGGTGATTCCGATCGCCGGCTAATAAAAACAGCGGCTGAAAGGAGTTCATACTGCGCTGTTAGCACCACTAGCACGCTGGTAAAGCTGCCTAGTCTGACTGCCAATTTATATCAATAAATGGTAACAAGACAGCAGACAGCAACAAGCATTTATTGGTTACCGTTTAAACTAGATCATCAACAATCTAACATCCATTGAATTGAATCAGTATACATATTACACTTGTGTTCAAATAAAGAGTTTCTTCATTGTTCACTCTTTCTGTTATTGTTTTTATCAATCATGGAGCAAAAAAAAACGCGGCTGGCGGCTGCATAATATCTTTCAGTTAACAAATCAGCAAAGTGTAGAAGAACCATTGGAAACGAGTTTTTGGTATTTTTCGAGGAGTCTCTTTCTTTCCTGTCTGTTACGAAACTTAACTGTATGTGCTGACTGCTGAGGGTCAAAAAACTAATACCTAATAGACCGTCAGATAGTGACATATTTAGGTGCCCCATTTTCGCATACAAGCCTCGAAAAGGGTTGAAAAGTACATCGATTTTGAGTAGAATAAAGGTATTTTTACGAGTGGCTCCTGAGGATAACGTATGGAAAATTCGATTTTCCCTAACAGAAATGGAAGACGTCCTAGTGCCCATATTTTCTCGCAAGCCGTGTTCACCAAATGATGAATTAATAAAACCTGGCTTCGTAAAACAAAGAAGGGGGTGTTGCAGGTGGCTAAAGGTTTGAAATAAGGGCGTAATCTTGTAAGGAAAAATCGAGATTTTGGGCGATTATTCCAAACAAGCCCATCGAAAGGATGAAAATCTACAACGTCGGTAGCAAGAAAACATATTGCTTGAGTGTCGCAAATGGAAAATAACATTTTCCTACGAGCGTGCGCAAAGTAGTACTTTTCCGCACGCATTTCCGGGCTCAAAGTTACACTTTTCCGCACTCAGTGCGGATACAGGCCTTATCCGCACTGAGTGCCGAAAAGTAAAAATAATTGTCAAGCAACAATAAGTGCACCTGTCGACTTTGACACATGATGACAATTTTTTCCTCTGTTTCTATATCAGCCAACATCAATACAAACACCATATAAATTAACCTTGACACATTGTCAGATTTGTTCTCTATTTATATGCAAGAATCTACAAACTTTATCATCAAATTTGAACGTTTTAAGATGAACAGCTCTGACGAGGATTTTCTGTTATTTTTTTTGTCAGGTAATTTTTTGATAAATGTATAGGTTCGCTTCAAGTTAATTAAAAATAATTGAACAAATTATCGTTTTTTTTTTTTAATTTTTCTTGTTACCTACCTGATATGAAGCTCGTAGGAAAAATGTTGTTCCTAACACGTGCGCAAAGTGTCTTTTCCGCACGCAAACACAGTTATACGAACGACGCGAAGCCATCAGAATCTATTAGATTTTGAGTCAATTCTGTGCATTGAGGTAGAATAATAAGGAGACGCTATCTTCATTTGAATAGTGCAATAGAAGACGGCATCGGTAGGCGTGGTTAAGTGTGGGAACAATATGGCTACTTAAACAGTGCCGAACTAAATGGATTCTTTATAATTTTTATCTAAAACCGTAAAAAATCCAGATTACACCAAGAAGGAAAAAGTTGCTACAGAAACTTCATCATACTGAAACAAGAGATCCTTCCAAGACCCCAAATAGGAATTTTGGGCTTCAAAAATTTTTTACATTTAAAAAATCTTCGGATGGAAAATGCGGCCCTGATGTAATTCTGACGCGTTGGATACGCTTGTTTCTCCTCGTGTCGCCTCCTTATTATTCTACCTCAATGATTCTGTGTGATACACAGAATCATATTTTAATTTCTTAACTTTTTTTTTCTAATAATTGGTCCAATTATCTGATTTCCTATGTTCTATTCCTTTTTCGGATCATATACCATTTCTTCAGTATTTTTGCAATCTTTAGACATCATACGTGAAATAGTCTGTTCAGGGTTATTTCTTATTTCTTTTAGCATTTCAGCGATTACTTCATCTCCTGTATTGTATTGTTTTTCACTCGTCAATATTGCTTACCAGATCTCAAACTTTTTGATGTATGCGTAGGTATATTCGGACCTAACATTTCCTATTTTCCACTGGTATCGATTTGTCTTTTCAGTGTAATATCTTTCAACGAAGTAATATTGTTCTGGTCCATTTCTTCTGCTCGGTACCATTGTTTTGTTGGTGACGAATCTTCGTTTTGGGTATTTCAAGCCTGCGTTCTCTTCTGTAACTCTTTCTATCATTCCTTCGTCTATCTTCT